TTTGTGAACATATTGATAAAATATGGTTTTTCATGACAACTTCTTACATCGAAAAGTATACGAAAAGTTTCAGATTATTAATACAAAAATTAAAAAAATCAAAAAACCCGACTGCTTAATTATACTTCAAATAAAAACTGAAAAGAAAAAAACAAGTCCGGTAGTCTATAAAAAACTGAAAAGAAGAAGAAGAATAAGGAACATAGCTACTTTAACAGTCGGGACCCATTAGATATTCAAGAATACATAATATTTTTCAACAGTGGGTCCCGACTGTTAAAGTAGCTTTGTTCCTTATTCTTCTTCTTCTTTTCAGTTTTTTATAGACTACCGGACTTGTTTTTTTCTTTTCAGTTTTTATTTGAAGTATAATTAAGCAGTCGGGTTTTTTGATTTTTTTAATTTACCTTTTTTATTTCACACTTTTAAGTTAGTTAGTATTTTAAGACAGTATATACCGTAGTCTTGTTACTTCAGTAAGGGAATTAATATCGCGGGAATTATTAAGTACGTCGGTCTAAAAGATTGATTTATTAAGACATATAGAGACTTTACCAGCGGGATCAAGGCTACAGATGGGCCTCAATTTTCGCAAAAATGTGTGAAGTTAAATCAAGTCGTTACATAAATATCTGTAATGTATGTAAATTTTATAGTAAACTAGCACTTACTCAAAAAGTCATTTTTTCTTTATGTTTTTTTTAATAGTTTAGCAGTAAATATAAAATTCATTTACTTTTATTCGTCGACTATTTAAAATTGGCAGTGGCTGCATTGTCATGTCAATGCCGAACGTCTAAGATTGTGATATACACAAATGCAGTGTCAGTCCCTAGTCTCATAATTAGATATACCTACATAATTCACAGAAACCCAATATGTAGATGCCAGAAGTTAACTTCAAATGTTTTTAATCACCCTATATACAATACCAATCAATGACGTTTATGTCGCAGGTTGAAGAAAGCAGTAATTCCCGTTTGTTGTTTTGGACAATGGTGGCAACTGCCTTAGATCACTAAATTAAATAATTATGCAATCACCAAAGCAAAGTTTATAATATTTGATTAAACTAAAGGTGCATAATAAAATATTTATTAATCTCATTTATTATCAATTTATAGTTCTCTTTGTAGTTTTCTTTTAAAGCGTTCACATATAACAGGTCAAAGACTTTGTGATCGACCCTTTTTTTATTAGCAGTGTAAAGCTTGAATGAAGAGTAGGGCAATTATTATCCAAATTTTTTTTTGTTTAAAAAAATACCGAATAACGTATCACTGTTAAGCACAAATGCTAAGTAACTTTTACAAATATAATCAAATAAACCTATTACTTACTTTATTTTTAAATCTTCATCATCAATTAAATACTTATCATATCAAGAGGCAAGATTTGTATGTTTGTAAGAAATAATCTGTCAAACTACTGAAACGGTTTCAAATATTAATTCATCATAAGGTAGCTATATTATTTATTATTACGTTTTTCTTTATTTAAATACATTTTGTCCGAGTGACATAGGCTATATTTCATCCCGATAAATAAATTTCGCCCGTACAATGCCCGGGTGGATCACTAGTAAGTATAATATAATATTATAGATGTGAAAGTGAGTTTGTTTGTTGCGCTTCCGTGCCCTAATAGCTAAATCGAATATAATGAATTCCCATATAGAAGTAGATGGGAACTTGGTTCTTAGCTACAACATCGCAATACTTATTGGCGTAGGGTGATTTACCTATAAAAATCTACATTATTTACTTTGAATTTTGTAGAATTATTACAAAACCAATATTATCGCAAGCTGATTAATAATATAGGGATTCCGATAAGTATGTACTTACTAGCGAGAAATGGGTTATTTGTCATTATATTAAGTAAACCTTTTTTGTAACATTAATTAATATCGTTAAAAAGATGAAAAACAGTAAAATTCAGAGTTTTTCATTAAAATTCAATAATCATAAATACCTGTTATGATAATATATTTTTCATCATTTAATAAGAAGGAACTGTATCACAGTTTTATTGTTAGTACTTCGTATAGGATCAGATACTGCGAATAGCCCATTTTTTTTCTTTTACTTAGTACACCGCGCTATCACTTTGTCATCGTTGTAACTTTTTAAATATTTGTCGAAATGACATAGTGAAGAAAGCAAAGTTTATCGTCTTTAAATATCAAAAGCGATAAAAGTATTTGTTTTGATAAAAAATAATTTGTTAAGACAAAATGTGCATTTTGGAAATAGATATCAAATAATATTTTAGTTTTGATTCACTATTTTAGCGGTAATGACTTACACATTAAAAATAGATATATGGTGTCACGGACTTTTTTAGAACTATTTAAGAGATACATTTTTACTCTACATTACATTCATGTAACTTTTATTGTTTTCGCAGTGCAGGCCAAAATGGCTCGCAGATGGGAGATTTTTTCCCGTCTTATGTGACACTTATTGTTATATATTATCCAATTCACTCAATAACTACATAAATTATTATATATATGTAATAATCATATATGAGCTATATTACTGTTAAGTTTCATTAAAATCCATTCAGTATTTTTTAGGTGAAAGAGTAACATAATCCATACAAACGTAAGATTGAAATTAAAAGCGTAAGTGGTTAATATACAACTTTAAAGCGTTGTAGATCCTAAACAATCATATTAAATGAAAAATGGTGTTAGGAACCTAAATATGATTTTTGATTATCTAGACAGTGATACCCCACTCGACATATTTTGTCAACTTATTTTTTTTACTTCGTCACAATATGGCGCCTAATTTTGACCATATTGAATTTTAATTACTATCATATCTTTAGTAGCACTCCCATGATTGAGACGAATCGATTGATGTATGAATCATCAAAATCGGTCCAGGCGTTTGGTCTCTAGTGTGCCACAAAGGAACAAACATACATATGTAGACTGTTAAACACATAACCCTGTCTGCGCGTCGCGCTTCGCGCTCTTGCATTGCGCAGCCGGGTAATAAATAGGTAAACGTTTAACAAGAAGAGGTCCTATATTTAGATACTGATAGTAATCATTTGGTGTAAGATTTGGGCAACCCTATCGCCAACGTCCATACCACGTTGAAAACACCGGTTCTCGTCCGATCACCGAAGTTAAGCAACGTCGGGCGCGGTCAGTACTTGGATGGGTGACCGCCTGGGAACACCGCGTGATGTTGGCTTTTTGTTTTTATTTAAAAATATTTTCTGTGCAGCTGTACTTCAGTTGCAATGCAATGTGTTGTTGTAATTATTTAACAAAACAATTATTTACTATGTATTTTTTTTGTGCCTGGTAATTAATTTATTATTCTTTCAAAAATAATTCAAAACGTCAAGATGGAGACTCTAATTTTTTATAATAATTACATAACCTGTGACGATGGAGTGTCAGTGCATAAATTTGTGAAAATATTGATGAAATATGGTTTTTCATGACAACTGCTTACATCGAAAAGTAAACGAAAAGTTTCAGATTATTAATACAATAAATAGGTAAACGTTTAACAAGAAGAGGTCCTATATTTAGATACTGATAGTAATCATTTGGTGTAAGATTTGGGCAACCCTATCGCCAACGTCCATACCACGTTGAAAACACCGGTTCTCGTCCGATCACCGAAGTTAAGCAACGTCGGGCGCGGTCAGTACTTGGATGGGTGACCGCCTGGGAACACCGCGTGATGTTGGCTTTTTGTTTTTATTTTCTAATATTTTCTGTGCAGCTGTACTTCAGTTGCAATGCAATGTTTGTTGTAATTATTTAACAAAACAATTATTTATTATGTATTTTTTTTGTGCCTGGTAATTAATTTATTATTCTTTCAAAAATAATTCAAAACGTCAAGATGGAGACTCTAATTTTTTATAATAATTACATAACCTGTGACGATGAAGTGTCAGTGCATAAATTTGTGAACATATTGATAAAATATGGTTTTTCATAACAACTTCTTACATCGAAAAGTATACGAAAAGTTTCAGATTATTAATACAATAAATGGGTAAACGTTTAACAAGAAGAGGTCCTTTATATAGATACTGATAGTAATCATTTGGTGTAAGATTTGGGCAACCCTATCGCCAACGTCCATACCACGTTGAAAACACCGGTTCTCGTCCGATCACCGAAGTTAAGCAACGTCGGGCGCGGTCAGTACTTGGATGGGTGACCGCCTGGGAACACCGCGTGATGTTGGCTTTTTGTTTTTATTTTTTAATATTTTCTGTGCAGCTGTACTTCAGTTGCTATGCAATGTGTTGTTGTTATTGTTTAACAAAACAATTAAGTATTATTTATAATGTATTTTTTTTGTGCCTGGTAATTAATTAATTTTCCTTCAAAAATAACTCAAAACGTCAAGATGGAGATTTGTTTTTTTTATAATAATTACATATCCTGTGACGATGGAGTGTCAGTGCATAAATTTGTGAACATATTGATAAAATATGGTTTTTTAATGACAACTTCTTACATCGAGAAGTATACGAAAAGTTTCAGATTATTAATACAATAAATAGGTGAACGTTTAACAAGAAGAGGTCCTATATTTAGATACTGATAGTAATCATTTGGTGTAAGATTTGGGCAACCCTATCGCCAACGTCCATACCACGTTGAAAACGCCGGTTCTTGTCCGAACACCGAAGTTAAGCAACGTCGGGCGCGGTCAGTACTTGGATAGGTTACCGCCTGGAAATACTGATGTGGGTTTTTTTTTGTTTTACTAGATTTCACCACCAACTTCGTCCGTGTTAAAATTGGTTTTTCGAATCCCATAGGAACCCAACATTTTTCCGGATTAAAAAGTCTATGATTGAAATAAAAAATCCTATGTGGCAATCTAGGTAATAAACCACATTTATGCTAAATTTCGTCCATATCCGTTCAGCCTTTTTAACGTGAAAGAGTCACAAACATCCATATAATCATTCGCGTTTATAATATTAGGACGATAAAAGTCACTTACCACACCAATTCCTTCGGCTGTTTGATGTACCCCGTGTCAATTTCGCAGTACTTCATCTTGAAGTCTGATGAGCCGATCCAAAGGTATCCGGAGTCTGTGAAAAGTGCTACGTGCCTCCCGTTCTGCGATGGCACTATGGAGAGGATTTGGGTGTAAGGGTTCTTTATTTCCGGCCGCTGAAAAATAAATGACGTTTGAATTGTAAGGTCAAATAATGTAAGTTGTTATTATCAACTTTTTTACGGTATTCTGTCGAATATTGAAAACACATTTGTGTTTAAAAGCGGTTAGTACAATATCTTATATATAAAATTCTCGTGTAACAATGTTAGTTACAATTACTCCTCTGAAATGATCTGACCGATTTTTATGAAATTTTATATACGGAATATGTCCGTGGGTCTGAGAATCGGCTAATATTTTTCACATCCTTAAGTGGTTAGGAGGAATGTTATCCCAGGAAATTGATAGAACACTATGACACATAACACACCCCTAAAAATTTTTTGGACAATATTTATTTTTTTATAATATGGTATAAAAATATATACAACCTTAAATTTTCTCTTCTACTACCTGCCCCTATTTTTATGGCAGTACGAAGTTTGCTGGGTCAACTAGTCTTATATATAAAATTCTAAACTAACATAATGTCATAATGTTAGTTACCATACTCCTCCGAAACGGCCTTACCGATTTTTATGAAATTTTATATAAATATTCCGTGGGTCTGAGAATCGGCTACTATCTACTTTTCATATCCCTAAGTGATAATGGTTGTCCACCTGTGGCTGAAACCTATAATGCGCCTTCGCGCCTTTACGATATCGATAACATTCCTCCTAACCCATATGAGAACACTACGTTACAATGCCCAATAGTTTGAATTTTGGCGCGTAGGTTTCAGAACACTACGTTATACCGGTGGACAACCATTATCACTTAAGGATATGAAAAATAGATAGTAGCCGATTCTCAGACCCAAGGAATATGCACAAAAAATTTCATAAAAATCGGTCGGGCCGTTTCGGAGGAGTATGGTAACTAACATTTTGACATTATGTTACTAAGAGAATTTTATATATAAGATTACTCTTGAGTTGTCCCTTCATCAATATTTGTTAAAATATAATTATTTTCTAGCAAGAAATTAATGATATAAAAGTGTGAAAAACTTGTGGGAAATTCAAATATTTGAAACGCGCGAGAGCGGTTGTGACTTAAAAATATATAGGTACCTAACAACAACAAAAAATCTTGATGATCACTGGATATGCCAATGTCAACGAGATCATAGTGCGAGTGCGCAGTGCGTAGATACCAAAGCCGCGTTCCACCTAGACACCAAAAGTAACTTTTAACTACGACATTTAATTGTTTACCAAAAGGGCTATGAAACATAATCGTTCCTAAAAACTTTAACGTTGTTCACATTAATGCGCAAAGTATTCCGGCTCATTTTACTGATATGCTAGCGTCTTTCAACCACAAAAACCTTCATGCTGTTTTAGTCTCCGAAACCTGGCTTAAACCTTCTCTGCCCTCTTCATCCTATACTTTACCTGGTTTCCATTTGATACGTAATGACCGCACTGGCTCTCGAGGTGGTGGAGTTGCTATTTACTTACGTACTCATATTCCCTTTACTATAATTAGCTCCTCCATACAACCTCCTCCAGCGAATGCTGGCGAACATCTACTTGTCGAGGTTCTCCTGTCTCATACCAAAGTCCTTCTCGGAGTCTATTACAGCCCCTCTTTAAATGTTAACTTCTTCAGTTCTTTTGAACAGCTCTTAGGAGATGTTGTCCCATCTTACAGCCATTCAATAATAATGGGTGATTTTAATACCTGTCTTCTGAAAAATGATTCTCGTTCCGCTTCCCTTAATTCTGTTATTAGCTCTTGTAATCTTCATATTCTCCCTCTAAGTGCCACCCATTATTTCCCAAACTCTTCTCCTTCACTTCTTGACTTAATTATAGTCTCCTCTCCTCATCTTGTCATGAAGCATGGTCAATGTTCGGCAGATGCCTTTTCATACCATGACTTAATTTTCTTGTCCTACAAAATTCGTCCTCCCAAAATTAAACCCAAAGTCATTCTTCAGCGTAATTTCGGTGGTATGGATAGGGAAGCGTTTCTTATTGACGCTCTAAATACAGACTGGTCGCCGGTAACTGATGCAGAGTCTGTGGACGAGCAAGTTGAGACGTTTAATTATATTATTACCCAGCTTTATGACAAACACGCTCCTTTTCGTCTCATCAAGCTGAAACATGTTCCTGCGCCATGGCTCACCCAAGACATTAAAGCCCTTATGCACAAAAAGGATATTGCTAAATGCAAATACAAACGCCGTCCAACAGATGCAAACAAAGTTAACTACGTTAGAGCTCGTAATCACTGCAATTTGGTGTGTAGGGATGCCTTACGTCGCCACATTCATGTTTCCGTCGATAATAAAGATCCAGCAAAAGTCTGGAATTTTCTCAGGTCTCTTGGAATTGGTAAGCCCCGACATGAGTCTATTCCTAGTAGCATTAACGTTGATTCACTCAACCTTCATTTCTCCTCCTCTTCTAGTCTCAGTGATTATAACAAGACTAATACTTTAAATTTTCTTTCTTCGATACCAGTTCCTGACTACTCTCCTTTTGTCTTTACTCAATTCACTGAATGTGACGTTAAGAAAGGTATGCTTTCTATCTCCTCCAACGCAGTGGGGAACGATGGCATCAGTCGCAACATGTTAATACCAATCCTAGATATCATTCTTCCTGTCCTTACTTTCCTATTTAACAGCTCAATTTGCAATGCCGTCTTTCCGTCAGTTTGGAAGCAAGCACAAATTATCCCACTACCTAAAATATCGAGCCCTCAATCCATTACTGATTTCCGCCCCATCTCTATCCTACCCTTCCTATCTAAGGTCCTTGAACGCCTCGTCCACAACCAATTTAATATGTTCCTATCTCGCCACAACCTCTTTAATCCTTTCCAATCTGGTTTCCGTCCCGGCCACAGTACTACGACTACCTTGCTCAAAGTGACAGATGACATACGCCTTGGGATGGATAATGGTCTCCTCACGGTATTAACATTGTTGGACTTCAGCAATGCTTTTAACACCGTCAATTTTGACGTTCTTTTGGCATTGCTGCGCTCACTTAACGTATCTCCATTAGTGATTGAGTGGTTTCACAGTTATCTGTATGGGCGCAGGCAGCGCGTTTGCCTTGAGGATACATTTTCTTCTTGGAGCGACGCGACTGCTGGCGTTCCGCAAGGCGGCGTCTTATCTCCTCTTCTTTTCGCTGTTTTAATCAACTCCGTTTCAAATAATATCTCTTCGTCCTACCACCTATATGCAGATGACCTCCAAATCTATCGCCAAGCATCACTTGTTCAACTTGGAGATGCGGTGCGAGCCACTAATTGCGATCTACATACCATATCGGAGTGGAGCAAATCTTTTGGATTGCAATTGAATCCTTCTAAAACTACTAGCATAATAGTAGGTAGTTCTAGAATGATAGATAGAGTAGAATGGCAGTCACTACCCAATATCCAACTGGCTGGTAATAATGTTCCTTTTAGCGTGTCTGTAAAAAACTTGGGGTTAACTTTCGACACTCGTTTGAGCTGGGGTCCGCAGATGCAAGTGGTCAGCCGCAAATTGTTTGCTTCAGCAGCTTCGCTTAGGAGACTACGTAATTTCCTACCCATCACCACCAAAATTACCTTAGCGCAGTCGTTGTTGCTTCCCATTCTTGATTATGCTGACGTCTGCTATCTTGATCTCACGGAGGACCAGCTAAATAAGCTTGAGCGACTTCAAAACTTTTGCATCCGCTTCATATTTGGCTTGCGCAAATATGATCATGTTTCTCAATTTCGTTCGCAACTCAAGTGGCTACCTATTCGTCTTCGCCGGAATGCTCATATTCTCACTCTTCTTTACAACATATTGTTTAATCCTAAGACCCCGCGCTATCTTAAGGAATGTTTTAATTTCCTTCACACTTCTAACACGTTATCTCTTAGGTCATCAGAAAATCTTACTCTCATGACTCCTGTACACGGTACAACATTTTATAGCCGTTCGTTTGCAGTACGAGCCGTACACCTGTGGAATTCTCTCCCAGTTACCATACGACGTGCAGAATCTATTCACGCTTTTAACAACCTTGTAAAGTCCCATTATCTGTCCATATAGAACTTTTGGTTTTAATCTTATTTGTGACTACTACTGAACTAGATTTGTTTATTTATATGTATGTATGTATTTATTTAATATATATTTATATTTATGTATGTATATGAATGTATATATTATTACCTATATCACTCAAATGATTTACGCCGCCATCTCTCCCACTTCCTTCTAGTCCTCTCCATCCAAAGGTTGTCTGGAAGAGATCGCTCTCAGCGATAAGGCCGCCCATTGTTACACTTGTTTTTTAAATAGTTATGTACTAAATGTTATGTTATCTGTGGTGTACAATAAAGTGTTTTGTATTGTATTGTATTGTATTGTATCTTTATTTGGTTGTCGTAGGTTCCAACTTCCATCCGCAGTATGGAATGCAAAATGACAGTATCCTGTAAGGTCAATGATCTTGTTTGTAGGTTTAATGTATCTTGACGTCACCTCCAAGTGTTCCAAAATAGCGCGCGTTTTAACTGCCCGTGCAAAGTGGCTCTTTTTAACATTTTTTGTTTTTTTTTATTCTGTATAAAGGGGATGTAAACTACTAAACTAAAATATAAAAAAAAACATGCATATTCCCTATATATTTAGTTTTTAGTTTAAACATTTAGCACCTAAATGCTTAAATAAAATATATAAATATTAAAAAAAAACAACACACCAATTAACCTAGCCCCAAAGTAAGCACTGTAGGCTTGTCTTATGGGATACTAGGGTAACGGATAGAATAGATTTGTATACATATATAAGTATATTTTATGTACAAATACATATTAAACATCTATGACTAGAGTATAAATGATCGTTATTCATCACACAAACATCGGTCCCCACTTCACGATCAGTCGGCGACACCATGAAACCCGGCGTTTATACCACTCGGAAACGGAGGTCGTCAAATAAATTTATTATATAATAAGTTAGTATATCTTATCTTATTAAAATATAGGTTAGTAACGAATGCCTTTTAAAAGATTCAGCCGCCCCTCGCAGCCTGCCGCCCCGGGCCATGGCCATTTTCGCCCTAGGGTAAATACGCCTCTGGATATAAGATCATCACAAGCAGCTTGATGGTGCAAATGGTTACCACGTTCGACTGCAATCTTTGATGTTAAGCAATTCTCGCAGTGGTCGGTCATTGAATGGGTGACCAAAAACTTACTATCTCGAGCACCTCCGTGCTTCGGAAGGCACGTTAAGCCGTTGCTTCCAGCTGCAATTGCAGTCGTTATCACCCACCAATCTGCACTGGGCCCGCGTGGTGGGTCCTGGCTCAGTCTACCTATTCCATCCATAGGGAAGGCTGGTGCCCCAGCAGTGGGGACAACAATGGGCTAATGATGATAGACAAGATTGCTTCGCCATCGGTCGACCGGTTAACTAATCTAACAAATTTAATTTCTAGAAAGAGAATAATTTTGATGCAGAATGCTAAAGTTGGCACTATAACCAAGAGTAGTTATTTCTAAATTATTTTGAAATCTTACCAAGAGAACAGCCCTGGTCTCGCCAAGTTGGCACTTGTATATTTCTTTGTCACGACACACCAAGAAGCCGACGACAGCCGCTGTGCGTAAGAAGGAATTGAGAACGCACCAGCAAGATATTGGCTCGTTTGCTCCTGATATAAATAAAGTACACTTTTAATTTATTAACGATAACTTTGTTTTGTAAGGGCATAAGAAAAATTATTCAATGTACATAGTAGCTGCTAAAATTAAATGTAGCATCTGCTAACTTGCCTCCTAAGAATAGTAAATGCACACTAGGCTGACTGTCTAATGAAGAGGAGTTGAGATTTTGTGCAATCCTATTGGTGAATATTTCTCCGTTTCGCTCCAGTGGACAGTCTAAAGCCTACTTTTACTAAGCATCCGCTATCTTTCTGTGAGTCTGCCAGAGTGGGGTGTATCTCATGAACTCATAGTAGATGAAATTGTCACGGATTGTAGAATTTTTCACGTAATGTGTATTTGGTATACAACGATGTAAGAAACATGATTTTTCAGTGTTTTATAGTAATTTTCATTAACCATGTTTGATGATACAATGATAATCATTCTTGGGGCTCTCACTTAGTAGGTTTTTTAAGAGTTGCTGATGGCTACAGACAGAATTCTTTTACAGCAGCAGCAAAACAGTATAGGTTACTATACTGTTCAGTTATGTTCAAAACGGATTTCTAATTGGAATCCAATTCGAGTGAGAAATCAGTTTGAGCACGCGTCTTGAGAAGTTACTCCCACTGTACAGATATACACTGTAGAATAATACTACCTATGGGTGGTATTGTGTTTCTTTATTACTAGATTGAAGTAGAAGCCGCATACTCTTCAAATTGTATGTAAACCAAGCGTGACAGATTTTGAGTACTCACGAGAAGAAATAAGTAGTGGAAAAGGTACTATCGCAGCACAAGCATCTACAGGCTGAACAGAAAACTTTCTGTTCAATTGCTATACAGAAACAACACAAATATACCTTGTCACTTTACTTACTTGGTAAATCTGGAACAGCTCTGACTTTGGGTTCAGCAATGTTGCTTATAAGGAACATGCGGTTTGTGGTTGTGATAACACCAAGTCCAATGCCCGTAAGATTAGGAAATAATTGAGCTTTGCACACCTGAAAATATGAATAAAAAGTTATTTCATTTTATTATTATTAACAGTGTTATGCTCACTCCATAGGGAAGGCCTGTGCCCCAGCTATCATATGGAGCTTTTTATTAATACATAGTAACAATAACTACACAATTTAATAGGTATAAGGGCTTTAATGTCCTGTGCTCTTTAAAACATACAAGTTTAATATTCTTTATCAAGTTCTACTCCCTAAACAAAGGTTGATAATGATGCTATTCAGCCATGCTGACAAGATTAATATGTATTAAGTTTCCAAATAAAAAAAAATGCTTACTTTAGTATCTCTCACTTCTTGGCCCATGTTAAAGGTTTTCTGATAAGCACCAAACATGTCATAGATGAGGACATCACCACTCTCCTGTACACAGAGCAGTTGTTCGCTGTCTGACCACCCCATATGGATCAAAACACCACTATTCCACTGAAAGCAAAGGTTGAGGTATGAACTTATTTATAGTTTCAACAAGGCATAATGATGAAAGTATTTGATTTGATCTCCATTATTAATAACAACAATGAAATAATCAGTTTGAGAATAAAAATATAATTAAGAAATTTTCTTAAACATGTAAGTATCAAAGGAGAAGATAGTTTATAAAAAATCCAAGTGGGCCAGGTAGCCGACGGGACTGGAACCCGCACTTTCCGCTATCCGGGCTGATGCGCTAACCATTATGCTACAGCGGCTCCAATGGCCGTGTCCAATTCTTTCTAGTATTTCTGAGGCTGCAAAGCACCAACTCTTTGCATTAAAGGTAACCCGCAATGTCAAATGAATACCTTTATAAGGTAGACACGAGACATTCAACTTCAAGAATGATCTTAAGTACAATCTTGAGATACAATTTCATACAAAAAAGCATTTCAAGATTGCTCTCAGAGGTGAGAGCACAATATTATTACGGCTATTAGATTAATATAATGACAGACTATTTTTACCAGTATTTTAGATATAACATTTCCAACACAGTTATAGATAGTTATAACTGGTTTGCTGGTGGTCATCACTCGCACAAACTGCTTTCTATCTCGCACCATGGCTATAGGGCCTCCATAAGGAGCTCCACTAACAAGCATATTGTCTAAGCCTTCGTCCATACTCCATGTTGTAGAGTAGAGGTCAAATTTTCTGTGAAATTAAAATTAATTTATTTACAATAATGCAAGTTTAGTTTCAGATTTTTTTATTGCTTTTGACTATTCCATCTATGATTAAACACATTGAAAGAGTGAAATTACAACATTTATCACAGAAATCTACAATAGCTACATTCGGTATTTGTATAACAGAGGCGACAGATTTTTTGGTGATGTGATCTCAGAATAATCTGAGTAAATTGCTATTAACGAACCGCCCGATCAATTGTAGATTAATTTCTCATCTCAAAAAGAAACTAATCCATATCTAATCTCACGACATGACAGACATCTAGGTGTATCTTTCTATTCGGTTTAAATACTTCGAGCAAACTTAAATACATCGGACTAACCTGAGCGAAATTCCTGAATGGTTTAGATTTACCTCCCCTACCTCTAGATGTAATAACAGAGCGATTCATACAAAAACATTGATCTGACGCAAATAACGAACGCAGCTAGTAAAATAGTAGTTCATTTGATAAAAAAATATTTTTTAGTAATGTTAAAATATTTACGATGGCATACCTATAATAGGAGTCCAGTTGGAACCAATCAGCAGTTAACAATGCCGACATTTTAACACCAATTTATTGATAAACTATTTGTATTAGAAACACTTTTCCTTATTAATTTAATGTTCTTTGATAAATATTTCATTTACATCGACGAAACTTTCACACTGTAGTATAATTTATAAAAAGGTAAGTAGTGTGAATTCGCACACCATCTTTAAGAAATCATTTAGGTATAAGTAGCAGAATATAATGATATTTTATTTTATCATACATTACACTGCATTAAATAAAAAGTAGAAATACAAATATTCGTATTGTTTTGACACTTGAGTGAAAATTACAACACAACAACAGCAGGGTGACAAATGACAGACAGATGCTTTAGACTGCTTTTTGTTTGGTACCGAAAAGCAGCAGAATTGTTTTTTTTTTTCAAATAAAGTATCTTGAATGCAAAATTGAAAGTTAAATATTCGTAGTACATAATAACTTGAAACTACAACTTGTGTGCAACTTGTCATAATCCGGTGAAGCCATTTATATTAAAGGTGATTACTTTTATTATACTGCTCCATCTATCGAATGAATTTATGACTACATAATATATTGACTGCCGCTTTTTCACCAGTCAGCATTTACAAACCTTTTAAAGAGGTAGCGCTGTTTATAATTAAACCCCAATAGGCTATTTGACTCATGTCAAATTGTACTATTCAAATGGTTTATTTTTATAATTTTTGGTATGAGGAACCTAAATACATCGATTTCACTTCATAAAATTAGAAAACTTATTTAATTTGAAAATTTATTTTTTTTAGTCTATACTTTTTAAACACTATCCACGCTGATTGTGACGTCACAAAATTGTAAACAACTAAACGTCACTGTCGTGTTACTGTGGTTTCTTTCGTCGGACTAAAATATATCCAAAACACCTATATCTTGTAGAAAGTTTTAGTTTATTGGTTTTGTTGACTAAATTAATGCTGGACGCCGGATTTGTGAAAGCAAAAACGACAAAACTCTTTGACTTCAATGAGTACTTTTATCGAAGTTATCTTTGTAAAAAGAAATTACTTTCAGTCGATAAAGTTACAGGATTTAGCAAGTTTTAAACATGTGTTCTTAAGTAGGTAGGTATGTTAAGGTACTTTATTCTAGGCAATAAGTATAGTATAAACCACAACTTTTCTGGAGTCTTTAACGATGTGTTTCTACATTCTCGTATCATACAATCATTATATTTACTTTGTTTTTCATGTAATATAGGAATTACCATGTAATATAATTTTCATGTAATATAATTACATCTTAAATTAAACTCAGATAGGTTGTTGTTTTTGACAAAGATTTAAATCGAAATCTTTGTTTAATGTCATATAGAAAAATCTATAGACTAAAATGGCCGACAGCGTTTTTGTATGTCCATGAATAATCTATTTTAAAATTAAAGTTTTGTAAAAAAGTAATATAATAAATTTTTTGCTCTTCCACCACTTGCAAGCAACTTACGCACGTAACAACACGCACTCCGGCGCTACGTATTGTAGTGCGTTGTAGACTGCAGTGTGATAATCGACTCATGAAATACCCGTGAATGACTGCTTAATATTTCATCATCATCATCATATCAGCCGTACGACGCCCACTGCTGGACATAGGCCTCCTCCAAGGATCTCCACAACGATCGGTTCTGCGCTGCCCGCATCCAGCATTTTCCCGTGACCTTCACCAGATCGTCGGTCCACCTTGTCGGGTCTTCCCACTGAGTGTCGTCCGGCACGCGGTCGCCATTCGAGAACCTTTCCGCCCCAACGGCCATCGGTTCTCCTCGCTATGTGTCCCGCCCACTTAGGGCTGCCATCCGTCCGGGTTTCCCCGGATTTGTCCTAGTTTACGGGGCGTCCGGGGAGCGTCCGGGCGGGGTTTTATTTGTGGTCCGGGTTTAAAAATTTACGGCAACGCATGAGTGGCCCTTGTTGCTGCAAGTGTCCATGGGCAGCAGAGACCACTTATTATGAGGTAGACCGCTAACTCTTTTGCCTAGATCAAGATAAAAAAGTTGATTTGTGACATTTTTAACTATTTTTTTATTGGTCTGTCCGGGTTCTGGGCTCCAAAATCCGGGGTTATCACGCGTCTTATCTTGGGTACCATATTTTAGAGATGGCAGCCCTACGCCTACTGCCACTTCAGCAAAATATTTACTCACAAGTAATTTTGTAAAATTTTTACCTACTCTACACACAATTACCAGTGCATGGAATTTGCATTCATATTGAAGTGTTGTCTCTCACAAACGCATGTTGCTCGTCGTAAAAGAAAGAATAGCGATCACGAAAGCGTAGCGTAACTTCTTCGTTAGTTTTAATTGCATCCACTTGCAGTATAAAACGTGTGAAGATAGGCTAAAGTCAATGGTGTGAGAACGTTTAACGTAGAATACATACAAATAGCAAATGTGGTTAAAAAAACGAGTGTGCTTATGACCACACGACTGAAGTGCAACTTCTTTAGCGCAAATGATCTGAAAATCATAAACTTAACCTGAAGATTTGTTGATAGAAATAACACGACCAATCCGCACTGGCTCCGTTATCACCTTCCAACCCGCACTGGGTCCATTATCACCCACCAATCCGCGCTGGGTCCGTTATCACCCACCAATTTGCGCTGGGTCCGCTATCATCCACCAATCCGCACTGGGTCCGTTATCACCCACCAATCCGCGCTGGGTCCGTTATCAACCACCAACCCGCACTGGGTCCGTTATTATTGACCAATCCGCACTGGGTTCGTTATCACCCACCAATCCGCGCTGGGTCCGTTATCACCCACCAATCCGCACTGGGTCCATTGTCAGCCACCAATGCGTGCTGGGTCCGTTATGACCCACCCCCAAGCACTAGATTCATGTATTTTGTGACGCGTATTGTTCATTGTTTACCGATGAGTCATCGATGACACTAATCGTAACGCAAAAATCGTAACAATCGCCAGTTAACACCCCCAGTCAAGCATGTACTTATAACGCTTAATACCAGTCATATTAAGAGGTGCTCTTACACCCTGTAAGGAAATTTTTGAGGAAGGCACATACAACCAGGACCCAAGTTTTACTTGTCTGCATGCTGTTTGACTTCAAGAACAGGGGCGTATTTACGCTAGGACTCAAAGGGTCATAGCCTGGGGTGGCGGGATGCGAAGGCCGGCAGAAGCTTTAAAAAGGTCTGACTTATATTTTGATTTGATTTACTAATTCTAGGGGAGAGAGGGGGGCGCAAATCGTAAGTAAGTCGGGCGCCGGATTTGTACATAGGTCCCTTGTTCAAGTAGTGATAGGTTGTAAAGTAGCACGTTTGGTTTGGGTCTTATTTATTTACCTATTTGTTTAGATATTATTAAAAGCAAACGAATTCCGATCTCCTAAATGTCTTTGTTACACTCTATTTTTTTTTATTATCTGTTTTGTTTAGGAGCTTTTGTTCGATGACATGACAGCTGCATCAAAAAATCCTAACGAGTACACTCTTAACTTGCTTAATATATACTACCCGTAGTAAAATTCTAGGACTATGCTATAACCAAATTGTTTTCTAAAATCTTTCGAGTAAGCTAAGTATGCTGTGCCAAACAATAAGTTAACATATTGAAGTTGGATAATTGAGGAATGTAATTTAAAGTTTAGTATTAAAATCGCGTTCGCAGAACAACAAACAGAGATTTTTCATTTCTAAATAAGTTTTAGTGTCCGCGAAAATTAGTTTTTCAATCAGATTTCTTTGCCTGTGAATTCAGATGGTTTATTTATTTATGTGCCAATCAGTGCCGTCTTTGACCTATTGGAGGCCCTGGGCATATTAGGATAATGGGGCCCCTTTGACCCCCGTTTGGGTGATCTAACAAGAACTACGGACTTTGTATTTGTGATCTGAGGTGCCCACTTATCGATCACGGCGCCCTGGGCACTTGCCCAAAGTGCTCACTGGGAAAGACGGGTCTGGTGCCAATTGACTGTACAGCTCACAACGTGGTTCCCACTCTCTCAATGCAGCGATGCGGTAGTGGATTATGCATGAAAAGTTGTGTGAATTAAATTCCATGTAAATTAAATATACAGCTTACCTAATAGCTGCTGGGAAAAGTAAGCTAATACAATTTTCCCGAACATAATTTTATGAAAATCTCATCAATGTTGACTCACGAAGCTAAATTCTTCTATCACCTCAACTATCAGTATTCATTACCTGGTTTCCAATTCAACTGTCCCCATTTACAGCGGAGAATAAATTTAGGTATGCCCTATAGGAAAGAGAAATAAGTTATATATAAATGATATGACTTACACTAAATAATAGTTGGAGCGACGTTATTTGCTCTAAGGTACCTTTAATAAAAATAAAAACAAAACTTAATGGTTATCATACACTTTGGACGAGTTTAAAGTTTAAAATCAATTGAAAAATGACACTTTTCTGTAGCCTGTCGTGCTGTTGCCTGTAGAAAAATAATGTAATTAGACATTTAGAGATCTCACGTAGAAAAGTTAGAAACTGAATGAGCCAGTTAGTTGAAATGTTTAAAAATAAAACAACCCCATAAAACAGAGGAGTCCAAAGTGACTTGTCGACTTCATCAATCTTGTATGACGCACATGGCAAAATAAATAAAGCTTATTGTGCCGTATCGTATTATTATATTAAATAAAATGTGTCAGAGGCACTGGCTTCAGTAAATCCATCATATCCACCTCAACAGGAAAATAAGTAAAGAAAAACTTTTAATCTTGTGCAAGCGATCCTTCCTTTGAAATTGTTCAGAGTTCTGTAACAACTGGCCGGACTTTGGCGTAGTGCTTAAACAGATAATAAAGCTGTTTTCTGATGTCGGAGGTACATATATATCGTTTATCGTAGCAGAATTTTAAAATTATTTTTGAGGAGAGAAGATCATTGTTTATTTCTCATACAGCAGTAGTTTGTGATTTAGCTTGTAAATAAATAAATTTTATTGTTGTTCATTGAATCGCTCTATAAACAAAACATACATCATTATCATCTGATAATATCCATTACATATAAATAACTATGATTCAGTAGAGTAAGGTATCATCTTTTAAAATATTAAGACCGCTTGATCCGCTATCACCCGAATAATAATTAATCCTGTGCATAATTAAAATAGCGACCAGGTTTTTTAAACATCCAAACTTTTATATAAATTTTTAGAGATAACTAGCTGACTCAGCGAACTTCGTACCGCCATAAAAATAGGGGCAGGTGGTAGAAGAGAAAATTTAGGTTTGTATGTATTTTTTAATACTACATTACCTAAAAAAAATATTGTCCAAAAAGAATTTAGAGGTGTGTAATGTAGTGTTCTATCAATTTCCTGGGATAACATTCCTCCTAACCCATATGAACTGATATGAACACTACGTTACAATACCCAATAGCTTGAATTTTTTCGCGAAGGCGCATTGTAGGTTTCAGAACACTACGTTACAGGTGGACAACCATTATCACTTTAGAATATGAAAAATAGATAGTAGTCGATTCTCAGACCCACGGAATATGCATATAAAATTTCATAAAAATCGGTCAGGCCGTTTCGAAGGAGTATGGTAACTAACATTGTGACACGAGAATTTTAAGAAAAGGCAACCATTACTGACTGATATGTCAACGCACAGCTCAAACCACTGGAGCTTTACTCTCTTTCTCCGAAATGAAATTTCGGTAACGAACGAATTTCAAACGAAATTTCGCCAGTGTCTCTACTCTATTTCATTTTCGAACAGGCACATTAACTTCGGAACCATAAACAGTTTTCGTGAACGAATGGAATGAGTCATGTTTGTGAGTTCTTTTTATCTCTACTTTTAAGAAAACGTTTTTGAAGTTATACTTCTTTAGGCGCGTTATGAAAAAATTATGAGAGTGAAATTTTAAGATGCGCGCGCATCACTGTAACACAAAAAATTAACAGCATGAAGTTGGTCGCTTTAGCGACCAACTTCATGCTGTTACTTTTGTGTTTACCGCACATTAAGAAAATCTACCAACAAAATAGAAATAGAATCTCTATTTAGCCATTGGTGTAGTAGAAACAAAAACCACATCTTTATTTTTTGTAATAAAGTAACAGTTATAGGTATTCATATTTATAATATTTATCCACATGTTTCTAGTTTGTATATTCGGAAAACGTGTTTGAGTTTCATACAAGTGCAAATCACATATGTTCTAATAAATTATATTCAGTAGCGATTTTAATTGAATATTTTGATTATTTATTTATTTTTTCAAATTAAAACTTTTTATTAATTTATTGTAATTAATTATTTGCATGCAATTAAAAACTAATTTTAAACGATGCCAAAGAAGGATAACTTCTCACGCGCCTACATAAGTACACGCACCCATTTTTTTATTTGGAAACAATATAGGTAGTTTACGGCAAATTTTTCGATGACATTGAACCTTCTTTGACAGTGTTAGCCGACTAATTTGTAAAGTTGATACAATCTACTGTATGTCAACCTCAATTTGTCGTTTAATACTTTGAAGTATCGAAATTACAAAAAATAATAAAAAAATGGTTTATTTGTTAATTTTACATGCTAAAAATGTTACTCGAGCTAAGCAGCTATTATTAAAAATACTCTTGCAAGTATTTTAGGCTTAATTAAAACAAAAATCTCAAAACGAAAATGAAAAGGTAACACTTTTCATTTCGTCGATTTGAGGTTAAAATTTCGAACAATTATCTGTCAAATTCAACTTTTCCTTCGAAAGTTTTGTGAATTAGAGTAGGCTTAGAGAATTTAATTGTCAAAATATTTCGGACGAACGAATTTTCGAAATGAGAAGGAAACAGAGTAGGGAACGTGCGAAATTTCGATAGAAATTTCGTTTTTCGTTGAAATAGAGTAGGCCTCCTGGACGGATTGCGCTGAAATTTGGCACATATATGATGTAGGTTAGATAATGAATACCTACAGTTTTAACCTACAGAACACAGAAAGAGGTTTTAACTCTCTTAATTTCGTTTGTATTGTGTTCGTGACGGACGCTGCAAAGCTTTTAAAAGGACAAATGTGTATAATGTTCAATTAAGCTTTAAGCTTTATAACCAACCTCCTTTTAATAAATAAGGTAACATTAAAAATCTAAAAACCTAATAAACAATTTGAGACTGTACTTGGTATATTAATGAAATGTGTCTTTCAAGAAACCGATTCAGAACTTCAACGTATCTACGTTCTATCACATGCCTACCACAAAGTAATTGCAACTGAAAGTAAAATAAGATTCGGAAGCCTTTGAAAGTGTGGGGTGAATCGTAGAGAGGTCTGGTGGAGAAGTTTCGAGTTCATTAATAAGTTCCAAAGACAAGAACCGTGTGTTCTTGTTATGCCACAATTTGTCGAGAATATAAACTTTCTGTTGGGACCTGAAGACACTTTCATTAAGGAGACCAATTCTTATTTATTTCTCCGACCGTTTAGTGACAATTAATTAAAGAAATAAGTAAAGTTTCAATAAAATTATGGACTCTATCCTACTTTGTTTATACTTACCAACCTACAAATAAATAACCCATTTCTCGGTTAAGTATTACATACTTTTGAATGTTTCTTCTGTATAATAACATTATTTTATTTTTTATGAAAGGTGTTACATGCCCTTTCATTATATATTTTTTGTAATGTTTGTGTGTTCATTAAGAGTGATTGCCACAGAAAACAGAAAAAGGTGCAGTTTCTGAGTTCCCTACGGAATTTTAAATAACAAATAAATTAGCTGCATCTGTGGTTTTATTGCCAGATCATATTTAAATTCCCTAGTTCATTTGTCGTGATTTGAATAGAATGCAGGTTTCATTGTCTTCATGCGAGTCATGTTTACGACGGAGGTTCAAGGCTTCAATAAATGCTAACTGGACGCCTAAAATCCGGTCATACAAACTGTGCCAACGATAACAAAGCTTAGTGTGGTTAAGTAACAAAATAGTTCAGAAATGTCAGAGAACAAGTCGGAGTCGAGTCTGCGACCTCGCTTCCACTCTTAGAGCAACGGTACTCGTGTCTCAGCGGCCGACGCTTGCGCACACCGCTCTGAGGTCCCTGCCCTCCTACGCCGCGCCCGCGCATGACATTCTCCTTCGAATTCCAAAAGCAAAAAAAGTGAATCCAACATAAAACTCCTTCGAAAACAAATAGAATACTTCAACAACTATGTTTATTTTTAATCGTTTTCTGTGTGATCAGTGAAAAGTTTTCAAGCGTGGAGGTTTATGTTCAGTGGGTTTTTAAACGTGCTGTGGAAGTTTGTGTGAATTACTAAAGAAGAAAACGCTCTTACAAAGTTAAGGCAACGGCATTAAAGGTAAGTTGGTAACTGATGTTTTGAATTTTAAACAGAGCACTTTTCAATATGAATAAACGTCTGCAGGCTTTCGCCTGAAACGAAACGTTTTTGCTGTTCCCTTTGGAATACATTAGTTTAAATTTTGCAAGTTGCTTGTTAAAACGATTGTCGGTTCTGAGGTACGGTGTATTTTCAGGAATACATTATTCAGGTACAAATAATGTTGAGTTGAGCAACTAAGTAAATGGATTTTATTGGTACTCCGTTAAAGTACCTAACTAGTATAAAGTTGTAGCGAGTACTCTGTAGAGCCATCAAAGAGCTTTCCTTGGGAATTATTCCGTTGAATTTTCAAATAAAAAGGTTATGAAAGTAGTTATATTTTCTTTGTAATTGTGTGTACGTAGTGCACATCACATATCGAGTTCAGGGAATAAACGGAAAATATCAAAGATACAAATACCAAAGTGATTGTGTAACTTAACTTATTAATCAATTAATCTTAGTACATTATATTTATACATACATGTTGAGGACCTCTTAAATGTAAACATTGAATTTTACGTTCTTGCATGAATTTCCTTCCTACAATCTGGGTTCCTTTAAGAGTGGCGTGGAGAAGCATTTTTGCGAGGTGAGGATGGTTGGTGTATCAGTTTATAACTGCTGAACCAGCTATCTTCGCGTTTGGACGAGTCATTTGCCTATCTTCGCGACGACCTCCGTGGCCGAGTGGTTTGTACGCCGGGTTTCATGGCTGTCGCCGACTCGAGAGGTCCCGGGTTCGAATCCCGGTGGGGGCAGATGTTTGTGTGATGAATACGAGCATTTGTACTCCAGTCATGGATGTTTAATATGTATTTATATAAATATACTTATATATGTACAGTATAAGTATTCTATCAGTTACCCTAGCATCCCATAACACAAGCCTTATAGTGCTTACATTGGGGCTGGGCTAATTGGTGTGAGTGTCGGAAATATTTATTTATTTTATTTATTTATCTCGCTATAAAAAAAACCATTAATAATATGAAGTTAGGTACTTACCTTCTACAGCATATACCAAGATCACACCTGTTTCTTAATTAGCGTGCGTGGACCATAGAATTAAAAGGGACAGGGATTTTTCCTATTAAACCTTTGAAATAGGAATATATAAAGATTCTGGAACAACAGTGCTTACCCGACGCCCAAGCACGAACTTTGACAGCTCCGTAAGTGTATCGCATCGTCAAAGTTTCAGTGAAAACTAAGCAGCACCCCTACCGGACATAAGAACAAACAAACTTTTTCCATATAAAATTTTACATGACTATACGAATGCTTTCTCGCTAGTTGTTCTTGTTTGGGGTACCGATGACTTCGTCTGGTCGTCGGATCGTTTGGTTTTTGATAATCCCACAGGAATCTAAAGTTAATTCAATGCGAAAGCCAAAACTTCCGCCACATCGGCCCACCTAGAATTTTAAGTTTTGACGGTCCCTCTCTAGCTTAAAATAAATGTTACATTGAGTAAAAAGTTAATACCTATGCAGTTTTCAAGCTGATTTATTAACCATCTTTCGTATGTTTTTAAAATTATTGCTCAACCATTAACATTTATTTTTGCTACAGACCGTTGAAACATATAACTAAGTGGGCCGATATATAGAGAAATACCAAAAAATGTGGGTACTTCTTCTGAGGTACTGATTTCTTAGGCATGCTAAAGTGTCAGAAAGGTTATTATGATAAAATGTCGTTACCTCATCTTAATTTTCATAGAGCTTTATAATTCTCCCCCTTCCCCAGTTTCACCAAAAGCTAGATGAAAACAAACTTGTCGTTCATGTGACGATTTTAACATTAAAAGTTAACAAAATTATATACCGATAAATATATAGCCCATACAAACATTTTCATGTAAAATGCTACCAAGACGAGATCATATGACTAGCACTGTCAATAAGTTATCAGATCTCATGTACGAGTAGGGCCAAGATCCTAAACGCCTTAACTCTACAAGGCCTACCTTCACCAACTCTTCATCTTAGTCAAAATATGTGACTTGGCCATTTCGCTATATTCTATGGTCCAAAAAAATGTGTGTTCAGTACTTATTTTTTATAAGTTCTTTGGATAACGAAACGGTCAAGCCAGATATTATGATTAAGGTGCAGAGTTTGTTAAGTTATGCCTTGAGTTAGGGCGTGTAGAGTTAGAACTTTGGTTAAGAGTCATATAATTATGTGTTTTCATATGGTCTTGTCTCAGCAACATTTTACATGAAAATGTTGTTGGTGGAACAACATTCCAAATCCAATCTGCATGAAAGAAACAACATATCAGAAAATATACTTAAATGAAAGGTAATTGTTCAGTTTTGGTGCAAATCAACACTAACCAATATTATCAAGAAATGGCCCTTTAGATTCTTTATTAAGATAATAAGATAACGATAGTAGTAAGTAATTTATATGAATTTATAAAAAAATACTTGATCGTTGATGTTTTAGCGGAATATATTTTATTTTTATAATGAGTATTTAACTAGTACATGTAGATTTCTTATTAACGATTAAAGATTTTTATTGCATACTTATTGCTATAGCAACACAGGATAGAATGATGTCTGTTTCCATCTAAAAATACTATTATAATTATAAAATTTTGATATTTACTTTCCGGCAAAGAGAGTATCAAAAATTCCTAGGGAATAACTTGTTCACAAAAATTTGATACAGAACAATTCCCTATTACAATTGGATATCCAAAAACTTGAAAGATATTGGTGATGCTTCCATTAATTATTTCCTTAAGACCATTTGTATATTATACAAATAAAATTATATATATGACCCAAAGAATAACAATTTAAACTTTTGTTTGACGACCTCCGTGGCCGAGTGGTTTGTACGCCGGGTATCAAAGTGTCGCCTGCTCGAGAGGTCCCGGGTTCGAGTCCCTGTGGGGGCAGATGTTTGTGTGATGAATACGAGCATTTCTACTCCAGTCATGGATGTTTATTATATATTTCTCTCCCCTCGTCTGTATAAACTTATGTATGTATCCGTATATGTTTTTTTTTTATGTTATAGTGGGCATACGAGCAGACGGCTCACCTGATGGTAAGTGATCACCGTCGCCCATGGACACTTGCAACACCAGGAGTATCACAAATGCCGGCCTTTAAGGAAGGAGTACGCTCTTTTTTTGAAGGTCTTTGGGTCGTATCGGTCCGGAAACACTGCTGGCGACAACATATTCCACAGTTTTGTCGTACGTGGTAAAAAATTTCGACAAAAACGCACGGTTGTGGATAGCCACGCATCAAGATGATGGGGATGAAATTTTTGTCGCGATGTACGATGGCGAAATGCAGTAGCTGGAATTAATCCGAACAATTCCTCAGATCACTCCCCGTGATAAATGCTATAGAAGATGCAGAGCGAAGCTACATCCCTACGCAAAGCCAAAGGATCAAGCTGATCGGAAAGGTCCTGGTCGTCGACTATTCGAGCCGCTCGGCGCTGGATGCGATCCAAAGGGAGAAGCTGGTACTGGGGTGCCCCCGCCCAAAGGTGAGAGCAGTACTCCATGTGAGGCCGAACCTGTGCCTTATAAAGCTGCAGTCGGTGGGCCGGTGTGAAGTACATTCTCGATCTATTGAGCACACCAAGCTTCTTAGAGGCCAATATTCTATCCGTATCCCATAACACAAGCCTTACAGTGCTTACTTTGGGGTTAGGCTAATTGGTGTGAATGTTGGAAATATTTATTTATTTATTAAACTAAGAGAGTGTATAATAAATAAGTACTCAGTAGTAGGAAAATATTAATCATCTTACAAATTCGAAATGTCAAGTCTTCGTCTCATCAAAACTATATTTAAAGTTTTTTTTCTATTTTATTGTCTCACCAATCATACGATTGTAATGCATGTGACCACAGCGCTTACACAATGTCACTGAGTTTTCTCATAGATCGAACTAAGTAAAAGTGTTATGTGGTTGGTTTTCTTCATTACTTGAGAGCAGGTAACATAACACGCTTTAGAGAAAATACTTCAAAACACTTGCTGCGTGTAACTTGAGATATTTATTTGCTTTTTCCGCTGACTTTCTTGAGAACTGGTTAATTTATGCATGTAGGTACTTACTTAGAAATAATAATGCTCATAAATAAGTTTGATGTATGTTCGAAAGTTTTTCATTGGCTTTATGCCTTTACAAGGTGATTATTTTCTTTGACAAAAACCATATTTAGTTTTCGCCGAATCATTAAGTTATTATGATCCCCGGTTAGATCTTGTAATGAACAGGTAAACAAGTTTCACTTTACTTTCATTGAGTAGGTAATAATTGTCATGATAGATAATTCATAGGGATTCTTCTAAACTTAGAAAATATAAATTCGAAATTCAGTATCGTTTATGCAGTCTTGGCCGTTGCAAACACTCGTGAATGTCGAAAAGCTAGGAAATCGGTTCGCAAATCTACGGGGCGGGTGACCTTGTAGGTACTCGTACTGGCAAGAACCGGCAAGAAACACAGCAAGAGCTGTTTTTTTCTCCCTGTATTATACACAGAATGACTTCAATATGAGATAATTAATGAAGTCATGTTCCGTTACAAAAATAATAATAAAAAATTATAACTACACACACAATTTATAAATAATAAAAAATAAAGAACTAACTACAATATAAACTTTTCATTTGACGAATTCACCATTTCATATCACATTTATTTACAGATTTTAAAACACTAAACACTCAACTTCTACTACTTAAATACATATATGTTTCTTACCTTGACAATACAAATAGATTTTCTGAAAAATATATCTTATATGTCTAAAACAAATTTTAAAAAAAAATGTATAGCTTTTTTTTCAAGTGCAAAGTAGGTAATTAATTATTGATGTAAACTTAGATGTTGAGACTCGTTCGTTGTTCACCGTTACTTATAATTTGATAGCTCTCATAATTCAGATCCGAAGTGAAGTGAAGAGCACCGATTTAAATCTCCGAAGAG